GCAGTGAAACATGGCCGGTAAGCGTAGAGGGTATTCGTAGGTTACTAGTATTCGATCGTAGATGTCTTCGAAACATTGCTCGTATATCCTGAAACCACCGAGTAAGTAACGCAGTTGTTAGGAAACGGGTACTGGGTAAGAATGCCAAATCAATTGATGAAGTAGTTTAACTTCATCAGTTGAAAGAGCTGGGACACGTATTACGTATTCCCAACCATCAACTGCCCCAACGTGCGATGTTTTCTGATGTAGGATTAGGTTGAAAGGAAGTTAGGGCCGGCCAGACCAAACGTGGCACAAATCCATTGTCACTGACAAGCGACTGAGCCATATTGGTAGGTGTAGACTACCTGATTGGGATCCACGAGACGATAGCAACCGATGATTATAGACTTTAAATGTGACATGGCTCAAAATCTTTTGCAATAGTGCAGGTGGATCCACTTTTGTGGTTTCCCAAATTCTAATCTTCTGAATTCTTCATATCATGTTCTTTTTGTTTCTCTTTCCAAATTTATTTCACTGGATTATACTTCTTGAATAACGTTTTCAAATCCTAATGTTTTCGATTACTGTTTATACTCTTACTACCTCTATCACTACGGAATTTGAATCAACAATTGTATCTGTGTGCTAATGTGGTATGGCAACTTGAACTGATGTACGTACGTACGAAATTCTGCGTTGTCATTGACTGACTGACTGGCTGGCTGACTGACTGAAATAACAAAGTGTGACATGTATGTATTTGGTTCCTCTTTGTACTAATGTTTATATCAGAAGGGGTTTGTGGAGATTTTTTAGAAATTTCACAGATTGAAATCATGAGTCAGTTGAAGCTAAACCACCATGGAAAACCTGGAAGCACTGGTCGGCCGTTTCGTCCTAGTATCGGACTCCTCAGCAGTGCGTATCCACGATCCCGCACCCCGCGAGATTCGAACCCAGGAGCTATTAGTCTCGCTCCAGGCGCTTCCAGTGCTTTCAGGTTTTCCATGGTAGTCTAGCTTCAATTGACTCATGATTTCAATCTGTGTAATGTATATATATTTAAATAATAACAATAATACATACATACATACCTACTACTTATGTCTGTTGACATAAGTAGTATATACCATGGTTAATTCCTTTAGTAAAACAACTTATAAACAATAAAGTAAAATGTTTATCCCATTTTTTTCAGTATTAAGAAGAATAATCATAATTATCATAACAGTAATGATAACAATAATCATCATAATAGTGCACGCAAATCCAGGTCTCATCTACTTTATGTTATAAGTTTATTTGTTTGTTTTTGTTTACTATTGGGGAAATAAACACCCCCCTTATGCAGATTGAACATATATATATATATATGGAATAGATACACATTGTATAGAATATAGTAGCCAAGACAACAAACTGAACAATAATAATAATAAAGAACTATCTGTTTGAAATTGATTAGTTCGTAAATTGTCTAGAAAAAAAAACAAAAAAAAACAACAAGTGAACTAGGGATTTTGGAAAATTTTTATTTAACTATTGATTAGAACGAAATTTTCAACAACAACGACGAAAAAGACAACGACGAAAAGGAAAAGAAGTTCATCTAAACAAAACAAAAAAAAATAAATATCATAAGAGTTTGTTATTGTGGATATTATAGTTAGTTTTAATAGTTGTGATCATGAATCAATTTAAAGGTAGATCATCATAAAAAAACCCTGGAAATGTTGGACAGTCGTTTTGTCCTAATGTGAGAATCCTCGGTAGGATGTATTCATAAAGTCGTTACTTATCAGTTTCACGTATGAATATCTAACCTCTAAACCACTGAGATGACCGACATCTAACGGTGTTAATGTTTAACTTCAATCAATTCACAAAATTGAGCCATCATCCACTATTGTCATCAGCGAGTTACTATCTCACAACAGATTCGGTTGAACTTCACTAGTCAATTCTTCTCATTAGAACTCCAGGAAATACCTCTTGAAGTCAGTCACTAGTAAGTATATGCTAGTTAGTATCAGAAAGGGTTTTTTATGGATATGATAGTAATTCTTTTAATCATTGAGATCATAAGTCAATTGAAGCTAGACCACTATCAAAAAACCTAGAAGTACTAGATGGTTGTTTCGTCATATTTTAAGACTTCTCGGTAGAGCCTATTCATCAAATCGCCACGCGAGATTCGAATCTAGAACCTATCAGTTTCACGTATGAATGCTTAATCTCTAAGCCACTGAGATAGCTGACATCTAACGGTGTTAATGTTTAACTTCAACTAATCCACAAAATTGAGTGATACATCCACCATTGTCATCAGCGAGTTACTATCTCACAACAGATCCGGTTGAACTTCACTAGTCAATTCTTCTCATTAGAACTCCAGGAAATACCTCTTGAAGTCAGTCACCAGTAAGTATATGCTAGTTAGTATCAGAAAGGGTTTTTTATGGATATGATAGTAATTCTTTTAATCATTGAGATCATAAGTCAATTGAAGCTAGACCACTATCAAAAAACCTAGAAGTACTAGATGGTTGTTTCGTCATCTTGTGAAACTCTTCAGCAGTACACATCCATAATAAATAAATAGTTAGTCTATAAAACTGATGAATACTACTTACTTATAAACTATTCATTGTTTTCAAGTATACAAGATAATGACAATAATAAATAAATCAATAAAATCAACAATACTATGCATATATCACTATAGGGGTCATTGAATTATTCTTATTTTGTTTTATTAAAGGGGTAACGCCTGTATAGATATTTGATAATTGTTTATTCATTCAATTTGTTTATTTATCAGACATAATAAGTATAAAGTATCATAGAGATAAACATAGACATTACCTTAGATACACGCACACACACATACATACGCACAAAATGTACTATCATAATAGAAAGTATTGAGTTCGTTTATTTATATATAAATATCATTATAAATTTACTGGATGTTGTTTACTTGTATCGTCTCATTGTTATTTAAGAATACAATTGATCATTCTCATATTGTACATCCTGTGCGGATTGCCTCGATATAGTCTTAATATATACTTTTTTAGACATAGATGGATAATGGTTAACAGTGGAATTCAGTTTGGAGCGTGTTTCGTTTTATTTGGAATTGATCAGCTGAATATATTTGTATCTAAGAGTTGATGTTTACTCTGAGACTCAATAGCTAAATGAATTGCTCGATAGCATTTGAAGTGAACGATACTGGGTTCAAGTTCTGGTTGAAGTAAATATCAACTCTAGGATTCAGATACATCCAACTGACGAGTTTCAAATAGAACGAAACGTGCATTCTGAATTATGCTTACAGATTTTTGTTATGATAAACATTTGTTTACTTTGAAAGATCAATTTTTTTGAAAGTTGAGCATATTAACCAGCTAATAGATCCTTGATTGATTCTGAATAAACAACGGCTGATTGATTGTCTTGAAACTACTTATATATTGATTAGAATAGAACACAACACAGCGTGGAGATTCAGGTGGCTCAGGCTAGTCTACTTGACCTCACCTATCGTACAATCAACATGATATGTCTATCATCATACTGTGAATGAACATTCTGTTACCAGAAGCATCATTAAACATATTGATTACAATAGAATAGAAATTATTGTAAAAGTTAAGCAATAAATTCTTGGTTGTTTATTATAATCAAATGATGGAAACAACTTAGACAATAGACAAGAATTTAGGAGTCTGCTAATCCAATGGGGTTTCCCTGCATGGGTTCGAATCCCATCCCCGTCTCCAAATTCGCTAGGTTTGAAGTGGTTATGCGTTCACTTAATTCGCGAACGGAACAAACACTCAGTGACCAAAGACCAATAGGCTAGCTATTCGATACGTCTCAGCTCCGCTAACTAGAGGAAGAAGTCCAAGATCGAAATAGGGGAAGTATAGTTTGCAAAAGCCAGAAACGAGCGATAACAACAACGTATATATACAGCAAAAAACTGTCCTTGGGGAGAGTTACAAAATAGCATACTAAAAGACACAACGGACCAATGGCACTTAAGATTCTTCCAAGTGGGAAATACGACATGAAGGTGGAAAGAGCGCTTTTGGCTCGAAAACAAAGAAATTCAAATTTTCTAAACCAAGTTACAAAATTAGGTCCTTTTCCAAGTGAGTTCTGGGGATCTAACGTCCCCAACAGAGTCCCATAGTAGGACCAAAATGGTCATCCAGTGCTTCCAAGTTTTCCATGATGGTCTAGTTTCAATCGACTTATGATCTCAACTATTCATCTCAAACTAAGGGGTTCTCTGTTAGCAATATGAAGCCTGTCAACAACAACAAAAAACTGTAAAACAATGAGTTATGTCATATTTGGACTTGATTCACTTTTAAAATACTGTACAATTAGTTGATATCTTTGTTTCTTTCGGAATAATAGTTATCCAATCAGCTTTTATGTCTTAGTATGGTCGACCTCCAGATGCGCCGACATGGCCGAAGGTGGGGAAAGTTCGCTCTGTCAAGAAACTGTTCTCACATGTTCATGCGTATACAACCACTGGCAGTAAAGTTGTACTTACTGTCTTCTTGTGGCATTACTGTTGTTTACGAAATTGAGAGGAAAAACCGCAAATGTTCGGCACTTTAACCGGGTTGGTGGACCCACAGAGTTCACCTAGAAGAGTTGGAAAACCTTAATTCTAAACCAACGGCACAGATGCACTCCAGTATCTTAAAGGAACAAATGACGTATGAACCTATTGTTGGTCACCAGTTACCATGAGACCGCATCTCCTGACGTTGCTCCACTGCCTTGTGGATCAACCCTTTAAATCGAAGGCTCCAAGTGTAACCGCTAAGAAAACCATCTACTTTAATCTGGTACCCAGGCAGTATCACTACCCACACACATATATCAAGTGACTTATATGGCTCATATCTATTCGGTACCCCTTTGTATTAATATCTATATTTTCAAATAAATGATATTGTATCCGCTTTTAATTTGACCTTCAGGTTCTAGGACGTTTAAATGATGCATTAAAACAAATTACACATACTTTAAATATTTATTATGATCATCATGAATCTAATTATAATGAATTAACAAATGAGAAATACAATAAATTACTAGCTGATGCCTATGATTGTAGAGGTATTATATATTTACAACTTGGTAGATTTCAATATGCTATTGATGATCTTACAAATTCCATTCGTTTAAATCGTTATTCAACAAAATATCTAATTGATCGTGGTGTTGCATATTTTTGTAATCATCAACTTATGCCTGCTATGATTGATTTCAAGTAAGTTATATATATAGATTATAATTATCTAATGAATGCCGTTTAAGTAATGTAAATTATATAGTTATATTCATGGTCTACCAGGGTGCTTGGTACCTATGTGATTGTGCCACAGGATTGAGCTGTACTATTCAGATTGTAACGTTAAAGCTTATACGATGTCTGGTTCTCTTGTGAAGCGGGATTGAGCTGTACTATTTGGGTTGTCACATGAAAGTCTGAATGGTGTCTGGTTCTCCTGAAAACCAATATCAAATTACCCTGGTCCACAAGAGCATATTATATTATATAATTATTTACGAGTCAATTAAAGGTAGACCATTATGAAAAACCTGGAAGAATTGGATGGTCAATTCATCGTGGCATAGGATTCCTTTGCAATGCGCACCCATGATCCCACCTGTGCGATCTAGAAAGTCAACTCAGATTTGATTGATCTGCATAAACTATTTTCATTTATTATGAAAATCCTTAACAGTTAGACTATCTATCATGAGATTTCGTGCCAAAAAAGATACTGTTTAATGAATTATGAATGGAACTTCTTATAACGTTATAACATCTTGAATCTAACCCTAGATATAAACAGAATCAATACTGTTAATAACGTTTTTAACTCCTACTGAAATCGATTTTCTTCACAGTCTGACATAGGATGAAAGAGTTTTAAAAAATACGTAGTACTAGAGTGCTACTTTGTCTACCGTTGTAAAAACAGCTCACCAATGTACATCTACAATGGGATTCTATTTAACATACTTTGTGCTTGTAATTGGCAGGATAAACATAGACCAATTGATTGGAATGCAGTGGTTACCTGTACGAGATGCAGTCAATTCATGTGATGTGCAACCATAATTTGAATACAATTACTGAGTAAATATTTCACTTCCATAAGGAGTTTACTGTAGCAATCACACTATTTTACTAAAACATCAGGAACTTTATTAATTAGTAAGTGCATTGTTGTTGTGCAGTTAGGACGTTTTCGAAGACAACCTACTTACCTACGCCTGTTATATCTCATGGAGGAGCATAGGTTGCCCAGAAGCATTCTTCTTCCAACTCTGTCCTGGCCAATCCGTTCCAGTTGCTATTCATCCTTTTCATGTTTGCTTCCGATTCCTGATGCAGTGCATTCTTTGGCCTTCCACTTCACCTTCCTCTTTCAGAATTCCAAGTTAACACTTGCTTCATGATGCAGCTTGATGATTCCCGAAGTGTATGTCATACACACTTCCAACATCTTTTCCTAAGATCCTCTTCATCTGGAAGTTGGTTTGTTCTCTACCACAGTAGACTGTTGCTGATGGTATTCAGCCAACAGACACTGAGTATCTTGAGTAGACAATTGTTTAGAAATACTTGTACTCCTTTGATGATGATTGTGGTAGTTCTACAAGTTTCACCTCCGTACAGTAGAACTGTCCGGAAATGCGTATTGAAGATTCTCACTTTCATGTTGGTTTGAAAACTGTTGTTTTGAGTCCCATATATTCTTCAACTGTAGAAATGCAGTCCTTGCTTTGCTAATCCTCGCACTCACGTCTGCATCAGATTCTCCCTGTTCATCGATGATGCTGACGAGGTATGTGAATGTTTCCACCTATTCCAGAGCCTCGCCATCAAGTGTGTTGGGTCTGTGTTCTCCATGTTGTATTTGAAGATCTTGCCTTCGCGCTTGTTTATGTTGAAACCTACTGATGCAGACTGCTACTACACTGGTTTTCTTGACCTACATTTGTTCGTGTGTAGAAGGAGCAGGTCATCTGCGAAGTCTTACTTTTCCAGTCGATTCCGAGCTGTCCTTTGTATTCCGTGCTTCCCATCAGATTTGGAATTCTTCATAATCCAGTCGACCACTACCAGAAGAAAAGGGAATGGGGAGGGTAAGTAGCCGTGTCTGACTCCGTCTTGTATCTTGTCCAGGGTTTCCATAGAGATTCATTCAGTATGAGAATACCTCTTTCGGCCTAAAACATCCTGACACGTTGAAGTCAATGCTTCTTTGATCTCCATCTAGTTCTCCTCCACATTAGTTTCTTCTTCTTCTTTGAGTAAATCTTGAAGGGCTTAGAATGTGTTGTTGAAAGTTATCTTGAATTGGTTGGGTTTGTCAGTATGTCGAAGGAAGGTTGTATTGAACATTTGCAATGCTGTTTCACCAGTTGTCCAGTGTTTATTTAGCTTCGCTTTCATATTGGCTACAACCAGGTGGTGATCTGAAGCTATTTCAGCTCGTCTCCTAGTTCTCATGTCATCCATGTTTTGATGTTTTGTTGATGCAAATGTGATCCAGTGAGACACATGAGGCTTTGTGTATGAGTTTGTGGGAGAATGTTGTGTCACCTATAACCAATTTGTTGGATGCATATATATTTGCAAATCTGTCACCATTCTTGTTAGTTTCTCAAAGCCAATCCATATCGTCCGATGATATCGTCATATGCGATGTTGTCCATTCCGACTTTGACAATTAGGTCTCACATCAGGATGATCAGATTCTTTCTTATGCACTTTTCTATGATCGATCGCAGCCTCCTATAGAACTGATCTTCATCATCATCATCATCATTGATGGGTGCGTAACACTGGATAACATTCATCGTGATCCCCTCCTTCTTTGTTTTGAAGGATGTTTGGTGATCCTTGATCCATCAGATTCCCACCCAATAAGTGCATTTCATGCTTCTTCGGACAGAATCAAAGCAACTTTCTCAGCATGTGGAGAATCTTTCTTTCTGTGAACCAAGTACAACAGCATCTCTTCCGAATCTAGCATTTGCTGTCCAGCTTGAGTCCATGGATTTCACTAATTCCGACCACTGCCAGTTTCTAAATCCTCATTCCCTTTTCTATTTGACTAATCCTTCTAGTCTCCCATATTGTCCGACCATTGCATATACCTATATCAATTGTTGCTCTGGTTGTTAGAAGGAGCGTCGTACTCGTGACTTCCGAAGAATCTTGTCTTCCATCATGTGGTTTCATAAATCGCCATTCAACTTGGAGGATAGAGTTTAAACGGTTTAATTCGTTAAATCTGGTTAGTAGTCAATCAGTCAGTCAGTTACAACGTAGGACCAGGCACCTACAAGTTGCCACACCTTATTAGCAATATTGTTTTTTTCTGGAATATGATTACTGACCTTATACTCAACCCTTCTCCATTTATCCTGGCTTGAAACCGTCAATAACTCTAGAAAACCTAAAGATGAAGTTTCTTTTTCTTCATGAACTATTCAAACTATATATTCTTTACACTTAAGATTATCCTTTATTCAATGAATCAATTTTCTTCTGATTACATTATAGAAATGCTAATCAACTTGATTCTACCAATGATTTAGCTTATTATCATCAAGCATTAATTTATTTACATCATGGACAATTTGAACAAGCTGAAAATCGAATCAATCTAATCATAAACATGAAACAATCAATATCATTTATCATTAATCAATTACAGTCAATATGTTTAGATCCAAGTCTATGGTTGCTAAGATCAATCATTAAATTAATGAAACATAAATCGAATGATTATTATGATTCTATATTGAATGAAGCATTAAATGATGCCTGTTATGCGGAACAATTAATCTTACCGAAATTCATGAATGAATTAACTAGTTGGCCACATTTACATTATACTAAAGGACAAATATTATATAAATTAAAAGATTATGTAAAAGCTGATAAAGAATTTACAAAAGGTAAGAAAGTATTTTCATAGTTGTCGTTATGGGTCAAAGTAATTTTACATTGATTTTCTCAGAGAACCAGATACCATCTAGACTTTTGTAATGTGACGTCAAGTCACGGTTGACTATGATCATCACTACAAGAAAGTTGTGTACCAGATATCAGAAGACGATTGGAGGTTGTATCGAGGTATATTTGTTGGCGATCTCATGGTATCGAAAGAATACTGAGATCATGCCAAAGGAGTACAAACGGAATCATTGAGCAAATGTAAGTTCGTGCAAGAACACAATCAACAGAAGGATGAATGGAAGAATGATGGATGTCTTTAGTACAGTTAAACAAACAAGTAAAGTAAAACGATCACTGATACAATTGATTATCATAATAATTGCTTCCATTAAACCAATCGCGTTCTCTTGATAAAATTAGGTCACTAAACTTTCACTGACAAGTAGACTGAGCTGTGTTGATAGATGTAGACTATTCAGTTAGGATCTACGAGACAATAGTAACCGATTGTTAGAGACTTTGAATGTGACATGGCTCAAAATCTTTTGCATTGGCGTAGGTTTATCCATTCTTTGTGTCCTCCCAAATTCTAATCTTCTGAATTCTCCATGTCCGGTTCTTTTTGTTTCTCTTTCAAAATTTATTTCACTGGATTATACTCCTTGAATAACATCTTCAAATCCTAATCTTTCCGATTACTGCTTATACGCTTACTACCTTTATCACTATGGGATTTGAATCAACAATTGTATCTGTGTGCTAATGTGATATGACAACTCGAACTGATGTATGTACGTACGGTGTTCTGCGTTGTTGTTGTTGACTGACTGACTGACTGATTCATGAGACAATCCAAAAAGTACAACTTAATCCTAATTTAAAAGGATAGCCAAACACTGCTGAGGCTTAACTCTAGTAGTATAGCTCAATTCCGTTTAGTAGAAGAGTTAGATATTACCCAGGCTTAAAATTTGTTAACCAAATAGTACTGTTCAATCTTGTTTAATAAGACAAACAGGATTTTCAAGTTCTAATGATTGATCTGGTTGATGTTTGTCTATAGGATAATGTTTTAACTAAGATTTCTATTCATTAGGTAATGAGGGACTTGAAAACAGTTTTATCTGTAATATGATCAAATATTATATTCAAGACTTTCAAATATCACAGTATTTGCTTTAAATGTAGATTATTGAATTAGAATCTATACGGCCACTCTCAGGAAAGTCTTACTCAATGCCTTCTCATGGCATTACTGTTCTCCATGAAATTGAGAAGACGAAACGCGAATGTTCGGTGCTTTAACCGAGTTGCTGAATATGAAGAATCTACTTACGTGAGTTATGCTCCAGGATCCTAAGAAAACAAATGGCGCATGAACCAATCGATGGTCACAGATTACCGTGGGACTGCATCTCCTTATGTTACTCCATTGCCTTATGGATTAGACCTCCAGGTTAAAATTTCGAGGTGTAGCCCCCTAAGACAATCACCTGTTTCTGTTTGGGCACCCGTTCAGTATAACAGCACTCACACAAAGCGAATGATAACTACTACTAACCTCATTGTTATTGTGTGTCGCACATGTAACCACTAGAAAACTCTACTTACTACCCAATAATTTATGGACATCATCAACAAATTAATCTCTAAGGCTTCCTACAGATGCCCCCTTCCAGCCAAACAAGTTAGTGAATCCTTCTGGAGAGAAACAGGTCACATCTAAGCACGTCACAACTACCGGGGTTAGAATAACTGTTTTTGCAACCAGTTAGAGTTTACTCCGCGAGGAGCAACCTCGTACATTAAATACACCACTTTTGTCGGTGTTTTGTCTTTTTTTTGCATGCAAGAACAACTGTGCTGTGTTTCTTTGTGTAAAGTTCGTAATCGATTTGAGAGTATCGGGTACACTACCTTACACCAATCTGTTCGTTATTGTTCCCCTTTTCTTTCACGCTCCTTATTTTTTTTCCTTGTCTTTAAATTCTCATTGTTTTGTGTGGCGCATATATATTTGGTGCCCTCTTGTACCAATATTTATGTGTTCAAATAAATAAATATCGGTCGAGTGGGTAATTAGCCCGATCTCTACTACCCAGGTTACCGCTCATGTTCAATCAGTCAGTCAGCTACAACGTAGGACCAAGCACATATATGCATCGGTCCAAATTGCCATATCTCATTAACACAACAAGATGGACACCGGATTCATAAAAGTAGTTAATTCAGAAATGGTAATGTATAAAAGAAAGATTACATATAAGAATACAGTACAGGAAGAAAGGATTAGTTCGTAGAAAGAAAGATATGAAGCGATTTCAATCCCTTAGTTTAAGGGAAGACAGAGAGTGTATACACCGACGCCATTGTGATCGATTCTGAGCCATGTCACTCTCAGTCTCCAACCATTGGTTACGATAGTCACTCCGACCCCAACCAAGTAGTCTGCATCTACCAACATAGCTCAGACTAGAAGTTTGTGACTTCAAGCACTGATGCAACGTTATGGTTTGGCCTCCATTACGTTTCTTTCCCAATACCGGTAAGCATTGAATGTCATGGTAATCAGTGTTCAGGTATACGTAACACGTGGCCCAACCATCTCAGTCGATGAAGATTTACAACCTCATTAACTGATTTACCATCATCATTCCCTAATACCCTGAGCGTCTAACCTCACAATTACTTACCTAGTGATCCCAGAAGATACCAGCAATCTTATATGTTAGTTCATGAATCATTCATCCCACTATCCATATGAGTCAAGGATACAGAAATATGAGTCAGATTTCATCTCCCTTCCTACAAATACTTTCTTTTTTATCTTCAATTACTACTTAAATAAAAGAAAATAGATCTATCATTACAAATTTATAGATTATTATTATTATTTTCATTATAAACTTTCTATCGGCATAATTCTATACAGACTTGAAGTGTTTTTTTTTCCCTTCTACAATTATCATTATCATCTTTGTTATTCCTTACTGATAATATCAATTAGGGTAATAATAATAATAATAATAAACAGTCAATGGGTTTGTCTCGAACAATTTCATTCATCAATTCTATCGAATAAAGAATATGGATATGGATATAGATATAGATACAGAGAGATATACGTGTACGTGCGTGCGTGCGAGTGAGTGAGTGAGTGAGTGCACGCGGACGTGCGTACCTGCATGTATGCATGTTTACTGATTTATATGTTGCTATGACTGTCCCCCCCCTCTCTCTCTCTTCGCAAAAAAACAACAAAAAAATTTAAAAAACAAAAAAATATATCTACAATATTGGTTTATATTAATTTTATACTTATATATAGATTACATAGAAATTAACGTATATATTATTAATACGCCCTAATAAATAAATAAATGAATAATTTGCTTATTATCAATTGAAGTTTCATTATGATTATCGTTTTGGTTAAAAAAAAACAAAAAACAGACGAATAATAAAAAAAATAGTATGATGAAACCGCCCTAATCATGAAAAAAAGAAAAAGAAAAACGAAAAACGAAAAAGAAGAAAAAAGAAAAGAAAATTCAATAGATTTACTTACCTGGTACAAATGTTCAGTGATACATTTTTTAAAGAAAAAGAGAGAAAAAATCTATATTCACTTGGTGTTTAAATGAAACCAGAATAAATATTGATGCAGAATAGTATGAATTCTTATCATATTTCGAGGTTTCTCATCACTAGCTGCTTACAACCCACTGATATATAATAGAATAGAACAATTGACATAAATGAATGAATGTAAATGACTGGAATGACAAAGGTTTACAATAGTAAGTAAGGTGTTTCCCTTGAACAACCAGCATCTGCAGTGATGCTGCCTTCTTACAAGGAAAAAAAAAGGGTTAGAAAAGGTTGACCTTAAAAATGTCACACCTCACCTTACCTCACGGGTTTCCGTCGCCGGCGATAAGGTTTTTTTGAAGAACGAGCTAACACATTGACAAACCTCTCACGAAAAGTACCGTGCGTGATCAGGTTCAAGCAGTTGTCCCTTGAGCTCTGAGGATCACGCTCCCAGGTCTTTAAGGTCAACATTGATTCAACTTTCATGCAATTAGTTCCCTTTATGAATTCAAATAAGTCAAGAACAAATATTGATGCAGAATAGTATGAATTCTCATAATATTTCGAGGTTTCTCATCAGCTGCTTACAACCACTGATATGTAATAGAATTTTACATTGAGATAAGAAATAGTGTGAAACAATTGACATAAATGAATGAATGTAAATAACTGGAATGACAAAGGTATACAATAATAACTATATATATATATATATATATATATATATATATATATATATATATATATATATATATATATATATATGCAAAAACAGGTCAGAGGTTAATTGGTGTTAGAAATAAAGAAATAATTCTGGATGGGTAGTGTAATAGTTTAGTAGAGTTCATAAAGTGTGTGATCAGTTTAGACTGAGATGGTTGGGCCATGTGTTACGTATACCTGAACACCGATTACCACAAAATGCAATGCTAACCGGTGTTCGGGATGGTTGGAAGAAACTTAGTGGAGGCCAAACCATAACGTTGCATCAGTCCTTGAAGTCACCAACTTCTAGTCTGAGCTATGTTGGTAGATCCAGACTACTTGGTTGGGTCCGCGTGACTATCGTAACCAATGGTTGGAGACTGAGAGTGACATGGCTCAGAATCGATTACAATGGCGTCGGTGTATACACTCTCTGTCTTCCCTTAAACTAAGAGATTGAAATCGCTTCATATCTTTCTTTCTACGAACTAATCCTTTCTTCCTGTACTGTATTCTTATATGTAATCTTTCTTTTATACATTACCATTTCTGAATTAACTACTTTTATGAATCCGGTGTCCATCTTGTTGTGTTAATGAGATATGGCAATTTGGACCGATGCATATATGTGCTTGGTCCTACGTTGTAGCTCACTGTGATCATTTTAGAGGTAATGAAGGATTCATGGGATTCAAACAGTGATAAGATAGATTACGTAATAATTACAATGGAAGATGGTCGTGCAAGTTCATGGATATGTTGGTGTTAAACACTATCACCATTGGATGCCGGCTCAGTGATCCAGTAGGTTAAGCCCTCGCGTGCGAGACTGAAGGACCTGGGTTTGAACCCTACGAGCGAGACCGTGGATTCGCACTGCTGAGGAGTCTCACAATAGGACAAAACGGCCGTCCAGTGCTTCCAGGTTTCCAAAGGTGGTCTAACAACAATCGCTTCATGATCTCAATCAAAAACTTAATAATCTCCACAACCCCTATACTAGAATTTGAAAAGTTAACATAATTTAAGAGGATCAAGTGAGCGGAAATGTGTGAATGAAAAGTTGGTTTAAGAATTTGGTAATGTGGGGAGGATTATAACACAAAATAAATATTTTAAAAAAATAAATAAATGAATAAAATAACCCAAATAGCAAAAAATTGGATTACCAGGGTAACAATAAGTTTATTAATGTCTCTTTTTGAATACATAAATCCGGTTTAAGTTTTTTTATCGTGATTGCTTCAGCGAAACGGAGAGCAGTCGTACTTCTTTGTCTGTTGATAATTTTAAAAGCGTGCGGATGTCGATGGTATACCTGGTGTCAAGTAAATGTCGGGCTATTGCACTGTTGAGAGCCTTGGTCCGTCGCAGCCTCAAGTTTTTTGGAACATGGTCAGAAATGCGAACATACATTCTTCTCTCAGTTCTTCCAATGTATGTGCTTTGGCACGTACATGTGGATTGGTAAATGCAATTGGAGCTACTGAGAAAAGAGGAATTGTCGATTCTAGTTTGTTTGAGTGAGCAGTTCGTTTCCCAAACTGTTGTCAGTTTCGCTGCTGGTAGGCCACTTTCAACGCGGAATTTAGTCTGTGATTAATTAATCCAGCAATTTTGTCTCCTTTGAAACGTAAATATAAGAAGCAAGTTTTCTTTTCTACTCTATCATACTTTGCATGAGGATTGGTTTTTGCACATTTATGAATGAATTTCATCGGAGATGCATTTTCACGTAGACAATTAATGATGAGAGCAATCTTGTCATCCAGACGTTCCTTTCAACAAATTTTACGTGCGCGGTCAAAAAAGGTCCGTACAATACCCTTTTTGTAACTCATTGGACAGAAACTATAGTAATTGAGATATACTCCACTCCAAGTATTTTTGCGATGAATGTGTCTATGTAATGTGCCATCAGATATTCGATGACTTTACTACTTTTAAAATATTATTTATGTCGAAATGTGTGCCTAGTAAGTGTTGAGCATTTAACAAAACCCGAAATCATTGGACGGCTGTTTCGTCCTGGTATGGAACCCCTCAGCAGTGTGCATTCAGGATCCCGCTCGTGGAATTCGAACTCAGCATTTTTGATCTTGCACGCAAACGCTTAACTTCTAAATCACTGACCTGGCATCCAAAGGTACAACTGTCCAGTGCTTTCAGGGGTTGAGCTTGAATCGATTCATGAATTCAACCATTAAATTAATACAGTTTCCATAAACCTTTCTTCTAATTTAATAAGACGTCAAATGTCTAGACAATCAGGCTGTTAAAAAACCACTATTAACTACCATTAATCAGCATCACACTACAATCATAAGTATGCCAACATAGTATTGGACAGTAATTATATTATCTATAAAACGATCTTGGACGTATATTCTGTACTATCTGGGATTAATCCGCTTGACATGATTTTTTTTTATTGAGATCATGAATCAGTTGATGTGAGACCACCAGTGAACACCTGTAGACACTGGACAACCGTTTCGTCCTAGTTTTGGACTCCTCAGCGCTGCGCATCCACGCTCCCACTCGAGACATTAGAACCCGGGACTTTTATATTATTTGAATTTAGACATTGACACCGTTGAGTGCCGGCTCAGTCAACTAGAGGTTAAACGTTCACGTGCGAAACCGAAGGTCTTGGGTTCAAATTCCGTGAGCGGGATGCTGGATGCTCGCTGCTGAAGAGTTTCATACTGAGACGAAACGGCCGTTCATTACTTCCACGTTTTCCACGGTGGTCTAAAATCAATCGGTTCCTAATCTCAATCAAAATCTTAACAATCTTCACAACCCCATACTGATGATATAATTTTATCTATAAATTATAAACTTTTGTAATTAAAAGTAGTTAACAAGCACAACAAAAACTAATCTTGCTACTGACTGATGAATATAGTTACTTAGATTTACATAGCTTTTTATCAACTAGATATAACGCTGCTTTATCCTTTAGTAAAACAATAAAAATACAATCCATAGAAAACCCAATAGTACTCTTCTAGCAATATTTTTTTATTAAAGATTAAAACTCATATTCTATACCATTAGACTTTACAATTGATTGATCACTGGGTAGTGATCAATGTCATGTATATCAGGTCCTTGTTAGTGCAGATCGAACCCTATCACCAGTGTAGGTGATCACCACCCTGTGATCAACCAATTGTAAATAGATCTCAGTCATACAGGAGGTCAGTCACACCCTAGACAGCTCAGTCGTAACGTCTGTAACTATGAAGCTCTGTGACACAGGTTCGAATCCGTCAGGGAGCATAAGTTCCCTCAAGAATAATATAGGCACACTTTGCTGACCATAGTGAATTGTGACAATTATTAAGTTTTTGATTGAGATCATGAACCGATTGATGTTAGACCACCCTTGAAAACCTGGAATCACTAGGCTGCAGTTTCATTCTATTGTGGGACTCCTCAACAGTGTGCACCCATGATTCCTCTTGCACGATTCGAACCTAGGACTTTCGGTTTCACGCGCGAACGGTTTACCTCTAAACCATTGAGCCAAGTAACATGAAACCTAGGTTCAGGGTTTCCTGGTAACTACCTCCAAACACCATCTTACCATTAGACTTTCCATTGTTAGTTCTTGCCATGATTAATCAATAGTATATTGTGATGTACCATGGAATTCTTTTGTCTTTATTCAAAGCTTTCACCTTAAATTAATATGAACAGTTGTGGAAAAAGAACTACAGTTCAGTAATACTAATTGTGTTTTATTTAATTATACCCAACAAATTTTTTTTCAGCATAGGGTTGTCGAGATCATGAACCGATTGATGTTAGACCACCACTGAAAGCCTGGAATCACTGGATTGTTTAAGGTTAGACATTAACACCGGCTCAGTGATCTAGTAGGTTAAGCGTTCGCGCGCGAAACTGAAAACTTTGGGTTCAAATCCTGCGAGTGGAATCGTGAATGCACACTGTTGAGGAGTCCTACGATAGGATGAAACTGCTGTCTAGTGATTCCAGGTTTTCAATAGTGGTCTAACATCAATCGGTTCATAATCTCAATCAAATTCCTTTTTACATTCGACTTTTCTTATTTTTCTTTTTTTTCCTTCTAGCTCTCAGTTTATTACCATCCAATAAGTATATCTATCAAATACGTTGTAAATGTCGTGAAAAGATGTATCGTACCGGTTTGAGTAACTCATATGAAAATGCATTAATTGATTATCGTTTATCACTTTTGGCTAATGATGTAACTAACCAATAACATCTATGTATACACAAATATAATTTACACTTCACTTATATAGACTAATATAACTTATATATTTGTTCATTCATGTATTGGCTTCACCATTCCTATGAATCCGGTGTTCATCTTGCTGTGCTAATGTGGTATGGCAACTTGGACCGATGCATATATGTGCCTGATCCTAAGTTGTAGCTGACTGACTGACTTGACATTAAAGTCTTGAATGTTCGATCGTAGATGAGAATTGCTGAGGAGTTTTGTACTAGAACAAAATGCCCTTATAAGTTTTCATTGGTGCTCTAATATTGATGGATTTATGAGATTTCAATCAAAAACTCAACAATCTTCACAACCCTATACTGATCATTATCATTATGTGCTCATTATTATTAGAAAGGTAATCATTGCAGAAATTATAGTCTTTAATATTCATCTTGAAACAATAACCGAATCATTATTTTTAGAATTCATAAGGATCCCAAGCGGAGGTGGATGTGAATCATAATTATAAACTACGGTAATTTTATTGTTATTCAGGGTAGTTGACGGGATATTTATCACAAATCAATAATTAATCAATTTGAAATGTCTTACAACCGATAGATCAGTAGAGACCCAAATATCATGGTTATATTATCTCTGACTAATAGAGTAGGAGTTCATATGACCGAATTCTTTCAGGAGCACAAATTTCCTCAACATTATAATACATCCCGCTGAACGATGCTAGTGTTAGCTGACATTCTTCCAACCACCTAACATCTTAATATAGTTCACGTAATGTTGAATGACCAAGATTATCATTCTCACTATATCTTGATCGATAGGATTTTATCAGCATTAGAAGAGTTAGAAAAATATTTGTAATAAGTAGGACTTAATAAAAATTAAAACTGTATGAGATAATTATGAAATAGATAACGCGATGGCGTTTAAAGCGAACGGTACCGGGTTCGAGTCCCAGAGTGAATATCAACTTTGAGATGCAGGTACATTCAGCTGACGAGTCCCAAATAAGACGAAACGCGCATCCTGGATTCCACTGCTAGCCACTAACCATCATTGCTTACAAATAGCTTGTGAATTAAGACAATATCGAAGCATACGCACAGCATGCATGTATGCTAATAACAGACTGATCAATCGCAGTCTTAAACCTCAATAGGAAGATACAAGCCAAACAATACCAAGTGAATTTATGAAATACATGTTTAAAATCAAGAAGAATAGGTTATCTTTGTTCTATATTAAGGACTAACTAAAAGAAAGTGTACACCACTGATTGTTACAGTGATGATTCACCGCTTCAAAATATAAAACCGATAAATTTTATAGTTTCTGAAAAATTTATGATGTGTTAGATTTCTGACACTGCATGAGCTCTCCTAGAATTACTTCCAGTTCCAATCTTGGGTATGGGTATCGGAAACACCATTCCATAGGAAACAACATTATCTAAAAAACGTTAACCAGATTTAACGAATTAAACCGTTTAAACTCTATCCTCCGAGTTGAAGGAAGATTTATGAAGCCACATGATGAAATCCAAGATACTTTGGAAGTCACGAATAAGATGCCCTTTCTAACAATCAGAGCAACAATTAATATAGGTACATGCAATGGTCGGACAATGTGGGAGACTAGAAGGACCAGTCAAATAGCAAAGGAAATAAGGAGAAACAAATTGATGGTGCTCGGAATAAGTGAAATCTATTGGACTCAAGCTGTACAGCAAATGCTAGATTCGGGAGGGATGCCGTTGTACTACGGTCACGCACAGGGAAATGCTCCAAACACTCAGGGAGTTACTCTGATGTTGTTTGAAGAAGCACGAAATGCACTTATTGAGTGGGAATCTGATGGATCAAGGATCACCAGACATCCTTCAAAACAAAGAAGGAGGGGATCACGATGAATGTTATCCAGTGTTACGCACCCATCAATGATGATGATGATGAAGATCAGTTCTATAGGAGGCTGCGATCGATCATAGAAAAGTGCATAAGAAAGAATCTGATCATCCTGATGTGAGACCTAATTGTCAAAGTCGGGATGCATGACATCGGATATGAAGATATCACGGGACAACATGGATTGGCTGGGAGGAACTAACAAGAATGGTGACAAGTTTGCAAATATATATGCATCCAACAAATTGTTTATAGGTGACACAACATTCTCCCACAAACTCATACACAGCTAAATGAAGGTCACCGGATTAACTACACAGAATTAGACCGATCACATATTCATCAACAAAACATCAGGAAGATCCATGGATGACGTGAGAACTAGGAGAGGAGCTGACATAGCTTCAGATCACCATCTGGTTGTGGCCAATATGAAAGTGAAACTAAAGAAACACTGGACAACTGGTGAAACAACATTGCAAATGTTCAATACAACCTTCTTTCGACATACTGACAAACCCAACCAATGCAAGATAACTCTCAACAACACATTTTAAGTCTTTCAGGAACTTCTCAAAGAAGAAGAAGAAACTAATGTGGAGGAGAACTAGATGGAGATCAAAGAAGCATTGACTACAATGTTTCAGGATGTTTTACGCCAAAAGAGTTATCGTCATAATGAATGAATCTCTATGGAAACCCTGGACAAGATTCAAGAAAGGAAGAACAACAAAACGGCAATTAACAACAACCGAGAAAGAACACAGAAAGCCAATGTACAAGCTGAATACACAGAACCAAACAGACAAGTGAAGAGGAACACTGAAGCCAACAAGCAGAAATGCGTGGAAGAGCTAGCAACGACAGAGGAAAAACTTGTAAGAGTAGTAAATATGAAACAACAATGTGACACGGTGAAGAAACTAGTAGGGATATATAGTAAACCAGAGAGACCAGTCGAGAACAAAGAAGACAAGACAGTCATTGAGACTGGAGAACAGACAAATACATGGCTAGAACACTTTGAGGAACAGTTGAATTGGCCGGCTCCATCAAATCTACTAGCTGGATATCAAAGTAGCACACACATGGTTGACTGATCACTTGACGGTGATCAATGTCATGTGTGTCAAGTCTTTCTTAGAGTAAATCGAATGCTATCGACCAAGCTGCAATGTAGCCACTAATCTAGGTGACTCGACATTGCGTGCACTATGTTGAGATAGAATGGTGGTTGGAGGTAGTCAACGGGAAACCCTGGACCCGGATAGCCCAATGGTAGCGTCTCTGACTGTGAAGCTGGGTGATACGGGATCGAATCCGTCAGGGAGCATTAGTCCCCTCGAGATTACAGGTTCGACTTGCTTATGAGTGACAAAGAGCACGAAACCCTGGTCCAGGGTTTCCTATTGACTATCTCCAAACACCATTCTATCTCAAAATAGTCAATAGTTTCATGAAATGATATGAAGTTGTGTTTTAGTTCCCTCCCTGAATTTCGTACAATGTACTCTTACTATGGCCATCATGGCCATCACTTGAACTAGAACCATTGGATGCCGGCTCAGTGGTCCAGTAGATTAAGCTTTTGCGCGCGGGACTGAAGGCCTCGGATTCGAATCCCGCGGGCGGGATCGTGGATGCTCACTGCTGAGGAGTCCCACAACTGGTCGAAATGGCTGTCGAGTGCTTCGAGGTATCCAACGGTGGTCTAACATCAATCGATTCCTTATTCTCTATCAAAAAGTTAATAATCTCCACAACCCCATACTGATATTATATGCTATTTTTGTTTCACTATTAATATTGTAACAGTAAATAAATCCCTAAAATCAATAGCTCTGTAAGTCTTCAACATTTGCTGTTGACCGTCTTAGTTTTAATGTACTCACCTAGTTGAAAGAGCTCAGTGCATAGCTCGGCACCATATGATCAATGGGTCTACTGTTCTCAACTTTTCCTACAACCACTAGACAGTTTAAATCAGTCACTTCTCAATATATTGATAACTTATTAAATATATTTATGAATCTCTTCAGCTGTAGCTCTTCTAGAGTTACTCCTCGTACCAAGCTCAGATAAAGGAGGAGAGTTGGGCATGAAGTTTGCGACTCCATTCCATAGAACACTTACTCTCTAAACAGAAAATATATATTCGAACCTCTTCACTTCTAACTTCTGATTTCATTGGATTAACACGTTTTGATGATTATAGAAAGTGTTACTAGTCAAAGTGTTGTCAAATTTCAATGATCACAATGTTATATTTAACTTAAAAAGACTAAACAAATAGTACATTATAGTACATTTATAATAAGTGTATTTTGGAATAATAATAATAATAGTAATAATACAAAAAAAAACACAATAAAACACGAGATATAGCCTGCTCGTTAAAAATAAAGAAGACGTTTCATTCGATTATTTTTAAACCGATTATCATTAAAATAGAACTCCATCTATAACTCTCCTAACACTATTACCGGTTCCAAGCCCGGATAATAGAAGGAGGAGGAGGAAGAAGAAGAAGGGGGAAAAGAAGAAGGAAAGGAGGAAGAGGAGGAGGAGAAGCAGGAGAATTAGGTAATATAGTCAATAAACATTATCCCATTGAAAACAATCATACTAATCATTACACAATCCATTATTCAATGAAATACATTAAATTGATTCTATTATAATCATTATAAAATCTTAATAAGAACAATGAAAAAAAGAAAAAAAAGTTTGTCAAAAAGATTAAGAGTCAAGCTAAAGTAAAGAAAAGAAAGAGAAGAAAAGAAAAAAGAATAAAATAATAAAGAAGAAAATTATTAAATGAATTACCCAAATTGGCATTTTTCCCCCTTGTTTTATAAATACAAATAAACAATCTTTGTTTATGTTTTTTTTCTCTTTTAAAAAAAAACAAACAAACAAAAAACATTTTGTGTATGTTCTTCCCCCCTCCTCCGCACATACACACACATACACGTGTTTAAATCGATTCTATTTTGATATGTATACATTGCGTGTGTGTAAGTGTGCATCCGCATGTGTGTATGTTGTTGTTGTTGTTGTTGTTAGTGGTGGTGGTGGTGGTGGTGGTTGCGGTGATGGTGGTGGTGTTTTATTGAATTCATTATTCAATATTTCATGAACATTTTAAAACTAAATTATATTCACTACTGATTTTAATCAGTTAATCAGTAGTATCTATGGCTAATGAATTATTAAAATAAACCACAATCTTTTAAATTTGATTTAATAATCACATCTATTACAGCATCAAATACAACACGTATATTATTATTATCAGTAGCACATGTAAAATGTGTATAAATTGTTTTAGTTGTTTTTCTACGATTAACATCTTCAAATTTTTCTCTTATATAATTAGATGCTTCTTCATATGTTTGTTCTCCGGTATATTCAGGGAAACATATTGTTAATGGAGATTTTTGTATTTTTTCATTAAATAAATCTTTTTTATTTAAAAATAATATCATACTTGTTTCAACAAACCATTGACTATTACATATTGAATCAAATAATTGTAATGATTCATGCATTCTATTAGTAGTTTGATCTTCAGCTAATTTTAAATCATATTCTGACATAGCAACTATAAATAAAATAGCAGTAACACCTTCAAAACAATGTAACCATTTTTTACGTTCAGCACGTTGTCCACCTAAAATCAATCATAATAATAATAATAATCAATATATAAGTAAACATTGTATTATGATCGATAGTATTCGATCTGCACTAATAATAAGAACTAGACACGTATGACATTGATCACCAACCAGTGATCAATCAATTGTGATTATATTTCAGTCCTACAGGAGGTCAGTTGCGGCTCGGATAGTTCATTGGTAACGTCTCTGACTGTGAAGCTGGATAATACGGGATCGAATCTGTCAGGGAGAACCAGTTCCATCAAGATTAAAGGTACACCTTTCTGACGAGTGCCAAGTAGCACGAAACCCGAGTCCAGGGTTTCTTGTCGACTACCTCCAACCACCATCTAATATCAATATATAATGCCCACAGTGTCGAGTCACCTAGACTAGTGGCTACATTACAACTTAGTCGATAGCATTCGATCTGCACTAATAAGGACTAGACAAGCATGAGATTGATCACCACCCAGTGATCAATCAATTGTGATTACATCTCAGTCCTACAGGAGGTTAGTCACGGCTCGGATAGCTCAGTGGTAACGTCTCTGACTGTGAAGCTGGGTGACACGAGATCTAATCTGCCAGGGAGCACCAGTTCCCTCAAGATTACAGGTACACCTTGCTGACGAGTGCCAAGTAGCACGAAACCTGGATCTACGGTTTTCTGTTGACTACCTCCAACCACCATCTAAATCTCAATATATAGTGCCCGTAATGTCGAGTCACCTAGACTGGTGGCCATATTGCAACATGGTTGATTGCATTCGGTCTGCAATAATAATAAGGACTAGACACGTATGACATTGATCGCCACCCAGTGATCAATCAATTGTGATCACATTATTATTATTATTATTATTATTATTATTATTATTATTATTATTATTATTATTGTGATTACGTAATCATATGATATCAAGTACTTATGTCGATATAAGTAGTGTACAATTATTTTTAATAGAAATTTCGGCCAGACTCAAATTTATGGACTAGTCAATCAGAGGCGTTTTAGAGATTTCAAGGTTACAGCGCCAACTTCAGTGCTTAACGCTAACGTACGATCGGTTCATAGGAAGTTTTGTACAAAACGTGATAATTGAACGGCTATAACAAATAAAACGGCGAGACTATAATTTGTGGACGAATCAATCAGGTATAAGATAATAGATCTCGGATTTGAACGTGAAAGCCTTTCATCCATTCGGCTAAATAAATTTCTGGCATTATAGCTGATGTCAGTTCGTGATGAAAACCCCATATATAATTCCTAACTAAGGCAAATTATGACAATTATTCCAAACTGGATAATAAAAGCACCAGTAACACTGGCTGCAGCCATGTACTACAATATATACGGATGTTTGGAGAGCGTGCAGACTCCTACATAGGCATGGTTATGTGCATCGAGTCGTTATCCACAAGTAGCATTTTGTGCACTCAACAACCGGAGTGCACATAAGTAACATTGAAGCTACGTGGTCGAGGCTGAAAGAGTTTTCGAGACTTTATCATGGCTCCAGAGGCTGACTATTCTGTAGCCGTATGGATGATTTCCTCTACTGCATGCATTACGATTTTAGAACCCGTGAACTTCTTTCTAACCTTGATAAGTTTTTGAACCATGTAAAAGAAGTGTATCCACTTAATTTCCTTGGTTTTGTATACCATATTTTTACTCGATACCGACTGTTTGCTTATTGGCTAATATTCCTCATGGTTTAAAGGTCGTCCATAAATTAGAGTCTCACCGAAATTTCAACAGTTGAAATCATGTGTCGATTGAAGGTAGACAACCATGAAAACCTGAATGCACTGGACGGTCGTTTCGCCTTAGTATGACACTCCTCAACAGTGCTTATCCATGATCCCGCTCGAGTGTGAACGCTTAACCATTGGACCAATGAGCTGGTCGGTATCCAACGGTGTTAATGTCTAACTTCAATCAATACACGAAATTGGATCATCGTATACCAATGTCTTCAGTGAGCTGATATCTCACAACAGATCTGTTTGAACTTCACTGGTCACGGCTTCTCACTAGAACTCCAGGAAATGCCTCTTCAAGTCAGTCACTAGTGAGTAGATGGTTATTGTCAGAAGGGGTTTTATGGAGATGGTTAAGCGCTCGTGCGCGAGACTGATAGGTTCTGGGTTCGAATCGCTCGGGTCGGGATCGTGGATGAGCATTGCTGAGGAGTCCCATTCTAGGACAAAACGGCCGTCCAGTGCTTCCAGGTTTTCCATGATGGTCTAGCTTATATCGAGTGATAAATTCAATTATTATAAGTTAGAAATTGAAATAAAATTTTCATTGGAAATTGAACTCTTATATGTAACACTCAATCACTAGATTTGTACCACAATTCCCGTAATAAACACTTTCTGAATGTTGAAAAATGAATAGATAACCTCAAACATTATCATTGTTGAAATGGCATTTTTGTTATATCTATTCTTGAGTTATG